GTGTACATAAAGTATACCAATTTATGCAGTCTCCTTTTGAAACACATTGGAAGGCATTCAAATGCTATCTCCGATATCTTTGTGGTACTGCAGATCATGGTCTCCACTTCTCCAAGTCTAATAATCTTTATCTTCATGGGTTTTCGGATCCTGATTGGGCATGGGACTTAGATAACCGCCGTTCCACTTATGGTTGCTGTTTATTTCTTGGGGATAATTTAGTTTCATGGAGCTCAAAGAAAAAAATCTTCCATTTCTCGCTCAAGTACTGAAGTTGAATACCGTAGCCTAGCTAACACTACTTCTGAATTAATGTGCTTGCAATCTTTACTTAAGGAGCTCCGAATCTATCAAACTAAAATTCCAGTCATCTGGTGCGATAATTTGAGCATGGTGGCTCTTAGTGCTGATCCAGTTTTGCATTCTCGTACGAAGCATTTGGAGCTTGACCTCTACTACTTGTCAGGGAACCTAGCTGTCTAGCACGTTCTTGCATTTGATCAACTTGCAAACATCTTCACAAAACCTCTTGTTGTTCAATATTTTACTTAGCTGAAGTACAAACTAAAGGTTCTTTCTCCAACCACCCTTCGTTTGCGGGTGAATATTAGTAGATAACGAATCTTTTTAGACTTGCAAATCTATTTGTAATTGTTATTTGTAAATGTATACACTTGCTGCAATCATAGTGCACCATGTTAGGCAGTCAGGGAATGTTGTATCAATCACAGTGATGATAACTTTCTTTATTAAACTATATATACATTGTACTGTACAAATTCAAATGTGGGTGAATAAAATATTTCTTTTTGCCTTCTATTCTATTTCCATTTTAAGTTTTCTCATCGATTATTTTGAGATCATGCATGATTTTAAGATATAATTAATTGCAATGTAATCTGTGCACATGTTTGAATTATTTTCAATTTTATTTTACATATTAAACAATAATTAAATATATAAATTTGGGCATGTTTGAGCCCCATTTTTATTTAGAATATCGAGAATGTGCAGTTGAAAGTGAAAAAAAAGTTTTTGAATTATGTGTAATATTATTTTATTGAAGAATGTGTGGTTATAAAGAAGATGGAGAAAAATGTATATTTATTTTGAAAACAATAGGATGAAATAAGGTCAAAAAATTTATGTAGTATTTATAGAAATGAAATTATTTTAAAGGAAAATTGCAGCCACGGTACCAACCTTTCCAATTTTTCAGACTTTACCCAAACTTTTGTTTAGTGCCACTGGAGGTACCAAACGTTTCAAAAATATGCACCGGAGGTCCAAATGGACTGTTTCCATCCAGTTGACCGTTAGTTGACTCCAAAAAATTATTTTGACCACATCAACAAAGGGTAAAATGGTAATTTCATAATTTTAACATAAAAAAGGAAAATAAAAAAATGTTACACTATTCACCTTCTTCCCAAATCTCATCCACCCCTATCCACCCACGCACCCACCCTATCCCTAAAAAACAACCCTTCATTTTCCGACAACTTTCGGCTCCCAAAACCACCGAATATTGATACCGGTGGAAAGCCCTTAACGCCCTCTTCAATGACATCCCAACATCCACCCATAACAACCACGGATTTGGAAGAAATTAATTCCCAAAAATCACTGCCTGAAAATCGCAAATCTGCTGGAATCTTACAATCCGACCATGCCCATGCTCAGACAACCCTACACCGGTCGTTTGCCCATGCCTAGAAGACCCTAGCCATGGTTCCCAGACATCCTTCTAGCTGAAGGAATTTATCCCAGAATACTGCCCACTCGTTTTTGTTGAACAGCTAGTTCCGAAAAATGGAGATTCCAAATCCATCCGGCCAACCCATGGTCGCGTACAACCTATGCAACCTTCCTCTCCCTCTGGCGCACCCAGCCCACCCATGGGTCCAGCTCAATTGCAATAAAAAATCAATGAATTTATGGGTGAAGTTCAGGAAGCGCTGTGCAAAAAATTCGGTACTCAGTGGTGGTGGTGGTGGTGGAAAGAGGCAACAATGGTGGTGGTGCCGACACTGTTGATGCTATGAAGGAGAAACTAATTGTTTGTATATTTATTTATTTTTTTTGTTTTTTTAAATTTATTTAATGAGAAATTGTCAAATTATCATTTTACTCCTCCTAATTTTGTCAAAATTTGTCAAAATGTACTATTCTTGGTCAACTAACGGTCAACTGGACGGAAACCGTCAATTTGGACATCCGGTGCATATTTTTGAAACGTTTGGTACCTCATGTGGCACAAAATAAAAGTTTGGGCAAAGTCCGTGAAAATTGAAAATGTTTGGTACCGTGGCTGTAATTTTCCCTTATTTTAATTGGTGGATATGGGCTGACTATCCAATCTAAAAGTCTCCAAAAGCCCAATCACAATTCCGAATTCCTAGGGCTTCTGAAATCTCAACGCCGCTTTACGAGCACACCGCACACAGCAATTATTGCCTGCAGAAGTTGGCATGCAGTGAGGTATTAGCTCTCCGAACATGACTTGTTAATTTACATTTTTGCATAAGATTTGTCTCTATGATGATGAATTTGTTATGCATATGATCTTTTATCTCCTGAGAAGTTTTGAGTGCTTAGTAATTTTGGAGACCTGAAGTGAAGAGACAAACTTAATTTTCTTTTCTCTAATCCATTGATACTAAAGAGTCCAGCTTTTGCATATGTATTGGGTTGCCGGATCTGGATTCTGTTTTACTTCTGTTTTTTGGCTAATATTTATTTGCCCAAACTGTAAATTCCGGCGGAGCCAGCTCGGCGGCCGCCCTGGCTTGCCGGGTGCTGGCTCCGCCGCCAACTAACAGGAAGACTGTTTTAGTCTTGGTGGTTATAACTTCTAATGACTTTTCTTGTCAACGTTTGTTATGAAATGTGACTATTCCAACAAGAAAATTTTCCCCCTCTGAACATTATTAGAAGATAATTTTATTTTTTTTAAACCTAAAAACAGGGTCTCCATGGCTATTTTTGCATTTTGCCACCACCTAAAAATACAAGTTTTGTAGAATACATGCCAGCGAATCATATGCACACTGAGGGATGTAAAAAATCATGCCCACAGGTAAATTTATAGAAAGAAAGATAGTGGTGAACACAAATCCACACAGCAGGTCCCTTAAGCCTCTGGGCTTCGCCATCCACTAGCCACCTGTCCATTATTATATTTAATGTCCATTCAAATACACACACACTACTTGGGTTGTGCTTTTAGATTGGTGATATCTTTGGATGTTATTGGGACTTTGTTCCCCTTGTTGAAATAGATACTTGAATAAGCAAAAATGAACATAATTAAATGATTAAAGCATGTTTGGGAAATGAGCCCGTAGCTTATACCCCACACAAATGTGTGGTTTAAAATGTATGGGGAGGGATTCCTACACAAAATAAGAAATAAGTAAGTCAAGCTTACTCGTGTGGCTTATTTCAACCCACAAAATTTTGTCGACCCATTGCTTTTAAGCCATGGGCTTGTTTGCCAAACATGCTCTACTAATAGTAAAGCTTATCTAGAATATAGTTAAATGTTGTGGGTTTCAGATGGGTGTTGTTACTGCTACTGCTTAGCTAGTTGGGGCTTAGCCATGTCGATTTGATGTTCCTCTTTCTTTTCTTCTTAGGCCAATTTTGTTGCTCTTGGTCTATTGAATAAATAATTGAACCCTTAATGGCCACTTATGCAAGGGTTTTTTGAAAATTCACTTTTCTTTTGACATCACTAAGAATTGTAACGGTATCCAAGCATTCATTAATGTGTGGGGGTGGGGGCAATTTGTTATACAACGGTTACTTCAAGTAGTTTACGATGCTCGGACTCTTCAAAATAGTTGGAGTACCCGTATCGGATATGACACGACATGGATATGGGTATGAGATATGCGTTGGATCCTTCAAGTTTCAATCGTTCACTTCGTCGTTTTTGCTTCTTCTTTTCCTTTTCTTTTCCTTTTCTTCTTTCCCACTTTTACTCTCTATAAACCTAGTGTCGTTGCTTTCTTCTTTCCATTTTCTTCTTTTTTTTCCATCTCTCTCTATCTATAATAATGGTGGTTTAGGGTTTTGTTTGTGTAAAATGAAAATGGATTCCATATAGTGCTCCACTAAATTCAAATTACAATCAAGTTCCTCATTTTCTATTTTATATAACATTTAGTAATTCTCATAATTGAAAACTAAACCCCCAAAATACTATTTTATTAATCTTAACCCCTTATTAAATACACATTTCCTTAATTGTGAATAATTAATTTTGTTCTATTCAAAATGATATTTTGGATTAGTAAAAAAATTGAAATTTGAAAGACGTACCCACGTACTCGTGTCCGAAATTTGGACTATTTTTAGTCATGTCTCCATATCCTACATTTTATAAAATAAAAGATCCGACGCTTAGATACGTACCCAATACCCGTAGCCGAGTCCGAGTATCATAGATTGTAGCTGTAAGGATCATAGGAAGTCTTATTATAAAGTAGAAACATTTTTATATGTGCGTTTTGAGCCAAGATGAAGATGACTATTATAACATGGCACTAAATTCTCAACTTTTATCTTACCCAAAAAGAAAAACTCAAGGTTCTCCTCTTTTCTTTTTTACGTGCCAAGGGATGGGGATATTACACTATAACACACCAATGTCCATTTGATTCTGAATTTCATTGATATGGGATGCTAACAATCTGTAGCATTCATCCTTCTTTTTTGTTTCAGGGGGTGGGGATAGGGTTTCTGCCTAATTCTCCTTTTCCTTGCGTATCATATTTTAGTAAAGTTCAATCTAATATTCTGTTGCATTCATCCTTCTTTTTTGTTTTGGTGGGGATGGGATAGGGTTTCTGGGGACTAATTCTCCTTCACTTTGCATATTGTTGTCTTTGAATGCTAAACTACTTCAGATATATTATATAGCTATCTTAGTGTTAGATGGCGTTTATCATTCATTCAATTTTTTTTTCTTTATATAAGCAGAGTCATCTACTAAAATGTTTGGAGGTAGAGCGATCCACTGGTTGGTGAGAGATAGGCTTCATTCACAAACCACTGTAAACTTTCTGATTTTGATTTACGTTTTTTAATTAATTTCAATTATATTTGATTCACATAATATTTCATTTCTGCTATATTTCATTCAAGTAATACTGATCAGGTTCGTGCTTTGGAGATGACCTGAGGGCTCTATGTCCCTATAGAGATTGAGACTAATATAAAAGATTGTGCAAGATCTCAAATTTAATAGCCTGATATATCTAGTCATCAAGAGAGATTGAGATGTCTATTATTTTATACATGCAAGGGTCAGGCATCTGTTCCTCTCCAGCTGTTAGCATACCAAATCATAGTCTTACTGCTTTACTAAATGAGTGAACCTTTGATAAGGAGGATTTGCTTTATTCGCAATTAAAAAAAAAATTAAAGTAATTGTTTTTGGGACCAAACTTATGGGTCTTTGCAGGTCAATTTTGCAGGCTCTTGTTAACATATTTAGTTTTTGTGCTAGGTGGTTGAGACTTGAATCTAATGCCTACCATATTATCTGTTCCATTATAATCAAATCTGGAGTCTAATTATCGCATGAAAGAATGAAAAATGAACACCTTATATCTGTGGAAAACTGTGTATTGAAGTTTATTATGGCTATTTGTTTCAAAGAACAGTAAATGTTTATATGAATATTTGGATAGTAATGAATTTACTTAATGGGCCATAAGCTTATTACATCGTGTGCCAAGTGGTTCACAGATGCATTTTTTAGAGTTTTTAGAACAAAAGCAATTGAACTCGCCTTATCTTGTAACTTTTAAACTAGAAAAGAAATCAATGCAACACACAACAAACAGTTTTTGGCCCTCGTGTTCCCTTATTGACATGATCTCCTGAATGGAATTTCTTAACTATGCTTTTGATGTTGCTTTGTTTTAGTCCAGTTTCCTAGAATATTGCCTTCCAGTAGCAGTGAAGTAATGCAGCCTGAACATATACCTCCATGTGAACTACTTTGAACCAAGAAGCAATGAATAGTAATAGTTGGGCATGTTGATTCTGTTGTTAAAGTTCCACGCAGGACTATTGCTGACTAAGTTTGGTGGGAAAAATTAGCACCATAGCTTTCTGTGGACTTTCTGTTAATTTAATTGAGTGTTTGCTAGTTCAATTATAAATTGGTGGCTGAAATTGGCTTCTGGTTCGTTTTTCTTCACCCAATTTTCAGGCCTCTCCGGTTTTGTCTTTTCTTGTTTCCAAGAAAGAGCAGGAAAGCATTGGAGTAGGCATGAAGTCCTTGAGGGCGCTGGCACTCTTTGGAGCAGGTGTATCAGGCCTTTTAAGTTTTGCAACAATAGCATCCTCTGATGAGGCCGAACATGGTTTGGAAGCCCCAAGCTATCCTTGGCCTCACAAAGGCATTCTCAGTTCATATGACCATGCTTCGTGAGTTTATGCTAGCCTATCTACTATTTTCCAAACAAGTTCTTTGTTTTCAGACTAATTCAGCTTTTGACATCCAAGTCGGATCTGTGCTATTTTTGAAGATTTTAATAAGTTGCAACTTGATACCATGGGTCTATTCTACCTATTCGTTCGGTTTGTTTCATAATATTATTTCATTATTCTTTTCTTTAAATGAAAAATAATAGGAATTCAAATATCTTCATTTCCATGTCCTTTGAACCGTTCATTACGTGTTATTTAGGTCATTTGTATTCTGTTACATATCTTAGTTTAATCTGACGTTAGCAATATACCATGTCTAATTATGCGTCATAATACATTAAAATAAATTCTGTATTTCCGGCTTTCTAATTTTGAAGCAAACTGGCTTATTCTCTTTCTTGAAATTTCTCGCAATGGATAAAAATTTAACTTTGGAGCAGCAACAAGTAAGGATACAATCTCAATTGACAAAAAAATCACTATTTTGGTTTCATTCTCTCTCTCCACATACCAAACAATTCTAAATTTATTTTCCCGAATCTTCAATTTACCCAACTTTAGATGATTCTTGCAGAGGCAGGAAAGAAGCTATCAATTTTTAACCCAAGTACACGTGAATACTTGAAAAGAACAAATTGTGAAATGAGTGAGAAAAAATTGAAACATTGGTTGGCATATCCTTTTTTCGCATAGATAATATTTTCCCAAACATAAAAGGCATTCCTTTTGTTTGGATGAAATACATTTGTTGAGGTTTAAATTAGAATAATGTTTACCGAGAGAATTTATTAGTTCCTGGACATGATTGAATCGGAAAGCGTACATGTGTATGTGTGTGCTTTATAGAGGAAGAATTCCTTTATTTGTTATATAATCGTTTTCGGTAAGCTTTCTCTGGCATGTACTATACAATATAATATTCTTTTGCCCTCCCTGATGAGTTTCATGTTCTCTCCATGTGCATAATTCTCCTGGTTTGTTCTCAACCGAATCAGTGACTGTAGAACATTTTACCCTATTGTTTCATTGATATATTGTGGTCAATTCCAAACAGGATTCGTCGTGGTCACCAGGTTTATCAAGAAGTCTGTGCATCCTGCCATTCAATGTCCCTGATTTCATATCGGGACTTGGTAGGCGTGGCATATACAGAGGAGGAAACGAAGGCTATGGCAGCTGAGATCGAGGTAGTCGATGGGCCTAATGATGAAGGGGAGATGTTTACCCGTCCTGGCAAATTGAGTGATCGTTTTCCCCAGCCATATGCAAATGAACAGGCAGCTAGGTTTGCGAATGGAGGGGCCTACCCTCCTGATTTGAGTCTTATAACCAAAGTATTTCCTGCCTTCTGATTTGTGGTCGTTTATTAGGAAATATTTTTTTGTCCGTCTTAGCACATTTCTTCTTTTTGCTGTAGGCTCGTCATAATGGCCAAAATTATGTTTTTGCCCTTCTGACTGGTTATCGTGATCCTCCTGCTGGTGTTTCGGTAAGTTCTTCTATATCGCATGTAGTCCTTGTAAGTGTGATATATTGTTTGTTGGTGTGTAGCTTATGATATTGTTTTCTTTCCTATCTAATTATACAAGCTGTATTGGTTTTGTAGATTCGAGAAGGATTGCATTACAATGCCTACTTTCCTGGGGGAGCTATTGCCATGCCTAAAATGCTGAATGATGGAGCTGTTGAGTACGAAGATGGCACTCCAGCAACAGAAGCTCAGGTAGTGCACTCTTAATTGTGACCCAAATTCAAGATATCTCTGCTGGAGTCTTTATGTAGATGCCGTCCATACAAAACTTTAGGGCACTAGTTTTTTTTGATTATCAAAACCTAATTGGTGCTTTTAATAGCTGTAATAATTGGAGAGCGAAATTGAAAATTAGCAAAGTAACATGCGTTTGTGGTGGTTCACCCTCAGCGTGAGCTACATTCACCCACAATACAGGTTTTCACTATAATGGATAAGAAATGGAGAAATCAATTTGTACAGAAAAAATTCACAGAAATGCAACAGATTAGATACAAACGGGGGTCCCACCGTGTATTTAAAAAGAAAAAAAAATGTACTGGCCCCACCCACGTGTGAGTATTCTGTTGTGATTCTTTGGAATTTTTTTATGTACGTGCACCACTTCTCATAAGAAATTACTAGTTTTCGTCTCACCTCTCTTGCACAAATACGTCCCTTTAAGAAATCCTTTACTCTAGAATATTAGTCTGGCCTAACACGTATGAATGCACGATTTGCACCTACAATAGAGAAAAATAACCTCGGGCTCCAATCCTGAAACCCCAAGCAGAGTGTATTACCATCGCCCTGCAACTCCCATTGACCTTACCGCGAAGGTCAATTTACTGTCTTAAGTGTCGAGGGATAACACTATTATTTTTGGGTATTACCAATCTTTATTCATTTTGCATGTTGTCCTTCTAGATGGGGAAAGACATCGTGACATTTTTATCATGGGCTGCAGAGCCAGAAATGGAAGAACGCAAACTGGTAAGCCATTATTTATAAATAAAACATGAATGCAACTCAGGTTTGACGTATCTCTCTGCTTTTACAGATGGGTTTCAAGTGGATATTTGTACTATCATTGGCACTTCTTCAAGCTGCTTATTACCGGCGATTGAGGTGGTCTGTTCTCAAGTCCCGGAAGCTGGTTCTTGATGTCGTCAACTAGATTCCACAGCTTCCTTGTAAGTTTATCAACCGGGAGGACTTGCAATCAGCAAATAATCATATTCCTGTTACGTTCAATTTTTTCTCTTCCACGTTAAACTGGTTTGAGGATTTGTTGGTAATGTGGAACATTTTTGTCCCTAGTGAGGAAGAAATAAGAAATTCATACTCATAAAATGACTGTTTTCGGTGTTAATTTGAGGTGATGAGAATTCTCTGCAAGTGTGAAGTTGTATTGCGTTCTGCTGTACAATGCGACTACTCTTTATTCTTTAAAATAAAGGTTCTACATGGAACTAACACAGAAAACCAATATCGTTAGCATCCAGCAGCCAAATTTATGTTATATTTAGATATTGAATTGCTATAGAATACTACTAGTGTTATGCTTGATAGGGTTGAAGGAAAAGGAAGTTAAAATTTTGTTCATTATATTATTCAAATATGCATTATTTTTTGAGTAGAATTATGCCCTTATTTGACAATTATTATTTCTATACTCTTTAATTCTCGTACTTGTTTTTGATTACGAATTTAAACAATAAAATATTTTGCATGTAAATTCAATACCTTTTTCTATTTTTTTGTCCACATTTTTCAAAAAATCACTATTAAAAATTCAAGTTTTTATCAAAATAATGACCATCAAACAGGGGATAAACTGATTTCTACACTAAATGGATATCAAAATTTGTATCCTGCATCCACGGTTACAACTTTTACTACCTTAGATTTGCTCTCACCTCTAGTCCCTTCGTCTTCCCCGTTATGATTCTTCGCTAATTTTGACTTCATTATATCCTCACATGCTGAAGGTCTTCTCTACACATGAAACAATAAAGATGAATAAAAATTCTACGAAGATATGACGAAGTAATTTGAGATAACTGACTTTGGTCTATTGAACATTTTTTTCTTTATGGAGATAAAGCTAGGATCTTCGTTTTTTTTTTTTAAATATAACAATCATGCTACATGTACATCATTTTTTATGGTGCAGAAGTGGAATTGGTTTCTTGGAAACAAGAAAAATTAAAAACTTGAAGAGTTTGCAAGAATAATTTGATTGTATTGAAAAATGGTGATTGAAAAAGTCTACAAATCTAAGTTTATATAGAAAAATTAGTTCCCTAATCCTAATGACTAAAGAAACAGAAATCCTTAAAAGGAGTAAAAGTATATACTAAAAGGAAACCAAATTCTAATCTAAAAGAAAGAAGAAATTATATTCTAATAAAAAGGAAAAAGAAATCATATTTTAAATAAGAAATAAGAAGAAAAAGAGATAAGTTCCTATTACAACAAGAAACTCTTAACAATGTCCTAGATCATTTTCTTCCACTTGAAGAAAACTCGACCTCAAATTTGTTGTGGAAAGAGAATATTTATCTAGCATATACTATTCAAAGATGTCTGCACCAATGAACGTAAATGTTCATATCTTTAAGAAGATCAACCTTATAAGCATTGTCTACAATTTTCTTCAATACGCGAAACAACCTCTTTGAAAAGTAAATAATCTACATGAGAGACATTAACTTATTGTAGGGAATAAAGTGAACTTTGACAACCGATCAACTATGACAGAGTTCAGGGGTGTCCAATGTCCAAGAACAAAGTCCATGGTCAAATCTGTCAGATATTCTCTAAACTAGGTAAAGGATTGTAAATGTTGATATTTTGGCCTTCAGCCCGTTGACATGTAGGGCAGCTTTGAACAAATTGACCAATGTCCCGCTTGAGTTGAGGCCAAAAGAATCGCACCTCTACTAAGCTAATTGTTTTATCTTGACCAATGTGGAACTTAGTCCTCCAGCATGTAGTTCTTGAATTAAATGCTCTCGTAGCGAAGATAGCTGAATACAAAGTTGATAGCCTTTGAACAAAAGTCCCTACTGACCATGAACAAAGTCGGTAGCCTTGTAGGAAGAAGCACTCCGCATGAACATCACCAACATGAGTTAATGAAGAAAATCCACTTCTCGTACAACAAATATTATTGGTAGCTCCAGAATTTACCCATCAATTGGTAATGTCGCTAATTAGATTAATTTTTTTCACCATCGTAGAGAAGCTCCCAGCCTCTACTACAAGTATCTGATTTTCACGGCTTAATTTTCCTTTCTTATTTCTACAATCCTTTGCGAAATGACTTTGTTTATCACAAATGAAACAATCACCAGTAGTTTTATTTTAAAAATGGGGTTTAGATCGATTGTTCTTCCCTAAAAATAATTAGGGAATACGATTGTTGGAGAAAAATTAGTCATAATAATTAGGAATACGATTATCCATAGCATATACAGAAACTACTTATAAAAATTTCATTTTAGATTGTTGGAGAAAAATTAGTTGCAGGAACTATTGCAGAACAAGAGAATGCAAAAAAGAAAACTTATTGATCTAGATTCGTGACAACATGATGTCTTTAAGTGAAATTGTTCATCGTTAACTGTTACAACCTCTTTGGACAATACTCTTAGGATAGAACAATCAAAATATGTGTAAAATACAATTGTATTTTTTTTGATAAAAGTATATAATATCAAAATGATTTTCAATATATTTTTCAAGAAAATAGAGAGGTATATTTAGCCACAAGTTATAACTTCCAATTCACAATTTATTTAAAATAAAATTACGATTTTTACGAGATTTTTACGATTTAAATAAATCATCTAGTAACTATCCCCACTGACTTTTTATTTATCGTTTATTTTGACCAAAAAAAAAGGGAAAAAAAATAAAATAAGCCAAGGCCCAATCATATATTTTTTAATATTCACGTGAATGTGATACGAACCGTCGACCTTTTACATAAATTTCATTCGTTTACTACTCAGACATATTAACTAGTTTAATTATTTTTTCAAATATATATTTGATATATATGTAACATAGATATCTACGTATGTATATATACTAATACGTGTTCTAGGAGAGGAAGAAATAAACCTACAAAGGAAGAAGAAAATGGCTATTAGGGGAGATTGGAGAGAGCGACGCGTGGTGAAGAGAGAGATTATGTAGATTTT